CAAGGCTCTCTGGTTTCTTTATACATGGTGTTTTCCTCCGGCTGTGAACTCTAAATGATACAAATGGGAAAATTCTCTGTTGTTTTACAGCTTTTAAATTTAGGTTACATTAAAACTAATGCCTAATTGATTTGGATGTATCTAAAGCACTTTACTGTTCTTTTAATAATAATTTTTCTTTGTTCCTAGTTGTTCCCTCACTAAGGGTAGTGCCTGTAATGTTAATGACTCCAGTCTCATTAAGGACTTGATAGAAGTTTTTCTTATTTGTACATCTCCCTCACTTATAATTTGTTTTGTTGTTATAATCACTGTTTCAGTCTATCATCACTATTGGAAGATATTTACCAGGTTTGTTCAGTAGAACTGCCTGTAAGAAATTAGTCCCAAACAGCTTAAGTAGAAAAGTTAGGTAGAAAATAACTATTTTTTTTCCTGATTGTGAATGTCTTCAGTTTGCATTGGACTACAGTACCCTTTTAAGCTCTCTAGACAAGGAACGCTCACATGCATGCTTATAGTTTTCTTACTTTTGCTATTTTTGATGTTCAGAGGTCTTTGGAAGCAATGTTCACTTTAACTGCTCCCTTGGAAAGCTGCCAAATAAACAAAAATTAGATTGTGTCCAGTTAAAACCTACCTCAGCTATGCCATATGTAGTGGATTTCAGGGATGAATTTAATAACTAATTTAGATTAGAAGCTTTTAGGATAGAGGTACAGCACTGAAGAACTGAAATGTATGGGTATGCAGAAAATTTAGTTAAAGGGCTTAAGGTAAAGAGACAAAAATGAAAAAGAAAAATAATTCCTTTAAGATAAATAATACGTAATAAGCAACTCTTCCTTCCCTAATCTTTGAAGGTGATTGATTGACTAATCATACTCTTCTGTATGACTCTTAAACTTCTGCAGTTAATCCTCCTGAGGAAGATGATGTATTTTATGTCTTATTAGTTGTAGGTAGAAAAAGAACCAGTGGTGCTGGGAATTTCTAGGTTGGGGGGTTTTTTTGTTGTTGTTGTTGTTGCTTTTTTTTTTTAAATTTGGCATAGAAGTGGAACAAGTAAATCTTGACTTACATGACTTTTTACAGGAATCAAGTTCTCACGAACTTTTTCAATGCTTCCTTACTTGTCACTCAAGGACTATTACACCAGTACATCTGTTTTGTCCTCACTTCTGTATTTGCCTCTTATTTAAGTGGCCATTCAAGATATGATTTAAGGTGTTGCCAGAGCTAACAGTGCTCTTTGTTAAAGAAGAGGACTTTGGCTTCTCTTTCTGTTGATATTACACAGCTGGCATGGCTGGGGGCTGTGGGAACATGAGCAGCCATATGGCCCTGGGCAGCCCTGCAGCTGGTTGGGCTTGTCTGATTCTTCACCCACTCACAGCAGGTTATTTTAGCAGCAGTAGATGTACCACAAACTGAAAAATTAATGCTGTAGCTTCTGAGAGGTATTTATTCATTCACATCATGGTAATCTTTTTGAAACTGCTCTTTAGCAATCTTTTACTTTGTATTCTGTAACATAATACATCCAAATATAAAATAGGACAGGCGTACAATTTTTATTCCATAGTTCAGCTTCTTAATTACAGTCCAGAAATTTACAGGCATGTGCTCTCTGTAAACCCTTTAAGCATGTCTTGAAAACTTTATTTTATGCATTCGTAAGTTGGTCAAAGCTTCTACAGCTGTTGTTTAATAACATCTAAACCAACTATCTTAGACCAGTCAGCACAGAAGTGTATATTTTCCTTTACTTATTATAATTTATATATTACTAATTGTAGTCTATTGTATAATACTTCAAATGCACACACCTGAAAATATTTTCCCCATTTTTTCAGAAAGCTATATTTCCTAAATTACAATAACCAAAGAATCTGACCTTGATTCACAGATAATTAGACAACTCCTTTTTACTTGTTGATTGAGCTCTATCAGCTGCCTATCAGCCCAGATCATTACTGGCTGTCTTGCCTGCTGGGATATTGGACAGGGATTACACAAAGTTGTCTTCAACTCTTCTTGGCCCTTTATATATAATTTATAATAGTTTAATTGCCAGGGAATGTTTTGTCCTGAATGTCGTTTAACAGCAAGGGAAGGCTTTAATTCCAGACTCTCAGAAAAGTGAGAGAAATGGATGTTTTGCAGGATACCTGCAGGAAAGGGTATTCACAAAGATGCCTGGAAAATACTCTGACCATCAGAAAGGCTAGTTGATAAATAGAAGCAACTCAGAGACTCAGAAGGGACCACATGTTTCTATTTTGCCACCTAATGCTTGGTAGACCGTACGTGTGTGCGTGTGTGTGCGTGTGTGTGTGTGTTTATGGGGACTGGACTGCTGTGAAGTGTTGAGAGATGTGCTGTGAACCACATCACCTGGAGAGCTGGGCAATATCAAGCTACTTCAGCCAACAGAGTCTGAGGTGGAAAACTGCAGGTCAGGCCAAAGTTGGAAGGAATGTACCCCTTGCCAGGACAACAACTGTGGAGAACAACCCCCAAAGAATGGGTTTATACAGCTATGGTGCAGACTTGTATGAAAAACTGGCAGCAGAGCCCTGATGAAGCATCATTACTCTTCTAGGTGTAGATTAACTGTAGAGCAGTAGCTGCAATAGGGAGGTTGATATGACAGGAATAAAGGAAAACAAGTTTTAGAATCATAGAACGGTTTAGGTTAGAAACGACCTTAAAGATCATCTAATTCCAATCCCTCTGCCATGGGCAGGGACACCTTCCACTAGACCAGGTTGCTCAGAACTCCATCTAACCTCGCCTTAAACATTTCCAAGGATGGGACATCCACAACTTCTCTGGGCAACCTGTTCCAGTGCCTCACCAGCACCACAGTAAAGAATTTAGCCTTCTCTTTTCCAGGCTGCACAAACCCAATTGTGTTAGTCTTTCCTCACTGGAGAAGTACTTTGTCTCTCTAATCATCCTGGTGGCTCTCCTCTGGATTTGCTCCAACAGGTCCACATCCTTCCTGTGCTGGGGGCCCCAGAGCTGAATGCAGCATTCCACGTGGAGTCTCACGAGAGTGGAGGAGAGGGAGAGAATCGCTTCCTTTGACCTGCTGACCACGCTGCTTTTGATGCAGCCCAGGATACAACTGGCTTTCTGGGCTGCAAGTGCACATTGTGACCACACATTGCCAGCTCATGTCCCCTTCCTTGGCTGACAATTCTTTTAAAAGTGCATTTGTACAGCCTTTACACTGGTACTCTGATTTCCTAGGAACTTGTTTAGTGAAGGGACACGGTACAACTTCTATCCATATGTTCTGGTTACAAATAAATGACTCTGGACGTGCATAAAACCAAATAGGAAACCAATGAAAGCATTCCTGTCTAGTAGGAAAGAAAAGGTGATGTTTTACTGCCATCTCTGCGAATGTTGCTTTGATAATGGGAATCATTATAGATATTAACTCTGCTGACATGCTGGGGAGTAAACTGGAGCCCTGTACATCTGTAAGCAAAAGCTGCTGCATGTTGGATAATCTCTCTCTTTTTGTGTTTTTGTAAAAAAACCCCAACCCCTCTGACTCTTTGCAGCTTGACTAGAAGTTAACCTGTATCATGCATTCATCACAGATTATGCATCCATTTCAGACTAGCAATAATGCCTTCAGTTAAAGTTATTATAATCCCTTGGTGGCTTTCACAAACCACAATTTAATACAATTCTGCTCAGTTTCTTGTATCTATGTTAGCTCAATACGGATAATCAAAAGATGAAAACCTGATGTCCAGACTAAGTTTGGCTGCTTCTATACATTAGTACAAAGTATATCCACTGACTAAGATGCTTCCTGTTCTTACATACTTCCTTCTCTGGGCAGTTCTGAATATTGAAGATGAGTGAGAAAGTAGATCACCAATGCAATTTTCTCCCTCAAGGATGTTTGACTCTCTGTGTTATGAGCTATAACTTTTCTATGAACGAAATCTATAGTGAGACTGGCCCATAAGGACAGAACTTCTCAGGTGCATTTCTCCTCCCTATCCCACTGTTAGCACAAGCCACTGTAAACCATGTACCCTGAGGGAGAAAGGCTTGTGGCTCTGCCCAGTCAAGATCAAAGCAGTTTTAGTCACTTTTATGTTGAGGAGGGGATCTGTAACAGCAGAAACACCGTTGGCACAAACCAGAAAGTTGGGAAGAAAGAGAAACAGCGTTCTGGCAGAATCCTGCAGATCGGAAGCCAGCAGAAGGGAAGAAACACCAAATAGGAAAAAAAATAAATAAAATAACTGAATTGCAAGGAACCATGAAGGTAGAGCCATACTATTCTTTTTTTTTTTTTTTTTTGAGAGCTGTATTTGATGTCTGAAGAGAAACACTTGTTATCTTGATCCACACAGGGAGCAGGCAGAGCTATTTCGCACTGATCCAAGTTGACATTTCCTGAAAAATTTAGCTAAACACTTTTCCTCTTTCAAAAAAGCCTGAGATATATAGAGATATTAATCTGAGGTAAAACAGTGACCATAACATTCTGCTTCTACATACTACCCACAAAGTATCTTCAGGAACGTCCACATATACCTTTGGTGAAAAACTCAGAACAAACCTGGGGGCCAGCAAAGCTTTTCTCTAGTTGCCATCATATATTTCACAATCAATACATTTCAGATTAACCAGTTTCTATTCTAAATTTAAGTCCTTGCACGAGGACTTGATTGCCTCTCAATTACTGAATATTTGTGATGGAAATAAACATGCAAGCTCTGCTATGAAGAAGTATCCAAAATTATCAGTGACTGACCTTTGTAGGTCATACTTCCTTCATATACAGAATTAAACCTGATTCCTGCTTCTTCCCTTTTACCACCTATTTCCTCCTTCCTCTCTCAATTAAACTGCCAAGTCCTAATCTCATCATTTGGCCTTTCACCTCCTTGAAAGCTCACAATTCCTGATCTTCTTAATCTAGGATCATTACCATCAATCAGTTCTTTAGGCAAGTGAAATCCTTTTTCACAGAGGGATGCCAGAGGTCTACTGATCTTTCAGGCTGATAACATTGTTTTATTTCTAGTGCCAATTGGGATTTTTGACTAAACTGTTGCTAGTGGCATATTTTGCTGATTAGATGCTCTGGACTGGTAAACAGAAATTTGCTTGAACTGTGGTTTCTTCCAGGTTGAGTCATTTACTGGGAGAGATGAAGGATTAACTTAATTAAATCAACTAATACTTTGACAAAGTGTTAGGGATCCTGCAAGGTTAATGAGGGCTAAGGTTAATGAGGACCAAGTTTTCCTTTCCTATGTCTTAATATCTTTTAGATAGTAGCCTTACTTACCAGACTTGCCTCACTTGCAGCTCCCCTCATATCCCTTACACTGTCTATGATATCCATCTCAACACCCTGTTCATCTGTTTCTCTAAAATGGACCATTGAGACTTTTTCTACATCTTCTATTGAGTACAAGCTTTTCTGCTGGCCCACTTTGCAAGGCTCCTTCTCATTCATCTGTTCTGTTAAGCTGGGCATTTACTACAGTGGCTACACAAAATAAACAAACTTCTCTTTGTGTATAATTAACCTTGACATTGCTGCAGTAACCACACCTTTAGGTAATCACCTGTGTCCTCTTTGATCCCATTGTCTGCATTGTTTTCATAAGGGCCACTGAAGCACCTACTGCACTACCAGGTCCTGTAAAAAAATACTAAGATAAAAGAAATCTTAAAAACAGCTAAGATCTTAAGGCATATCAGATTGCAATGTTTGAATGCAATTTTTTCAGGAGCAGTTCCTAGATTTTTTCCTCTAGCACCATGCTGTCCACCTATTATACCAAATGCTAACACCATTTTCAGAAGGCCTGCCTCAGGAGTAGTACCACTAATATTAATCATACACTGAAAGAATAGAAAGCCACCACACGAAGCAAATGTATTTTCTGAATGCAGCTGAAGCTTTGGAAATGTGATGCATTTTTCTCAACATCTCTAGCTACCCATTCTCACTGTTTCTTTTTACACAAGTTTCTTACTTTTTTGAGTTTTTTTACTATGTTCACATTTTCTTAAATTCAGTGCATTAGGAATTATGAAAAGGAAATATGAGATTACAGGAGACCTCAGGACAGATTTATGTATTAAATGTGGTTAAAAAAACCCCTGTCAGCAACTAACCAAATTAAATTTTTTTTTAAAATTAAAATTCTTCGATAGAAAGCACTACACACTAAAGACTTACTAAACTATATTATTTATTAATCTAAAAATTTCCAGTTAAAATATATTATTTTTGCACAAGTTTAGCAAAATATTTTGGTAGACTAGCCATAATAGCCAAGTGTTTTTCCTTGTTACCTTTTGGTTTATATTTGCTAATTTTTAAAAGGCCTTTCAAAACTTTCAGACAGGGGAAGATCCTGAAAACATTATGTAAAAGCACTCTTGGACTCTTGTGCTCTTTCTAACAGGATACGAAACAGATTTGGAAGGGGGTTAAACAAATGAATTAATGAACATTATAATACTAATACCAGCTATAATAAAAGTTACTTCTGATCAGCCTGTTTTGTTTTCAAAGGTTTTGAAATTATTTCCCAAACAACCTTGATGGATTAAAAAGAAAAATAAAATCATTATCTTTTTTTTTTTTTAATGTACATCCTGCGTTCTCTCAAAAAATGCTAGGTTAACAGCATTATAGATGCTCTTTAAATAGAAAATGGACGCACCCCTGCTGTCAGCCACGCTGAAAGCCTCCCAGTGCTGCCTTCCTAAAATGCTCCATCCCCAATCCATCTGGGTAGGCTAAAACAGTCCCTCTTACTCACTCCCTTGCAGAAATTATCAGTAAAAATGCAAATAAATTGTGATTCTGACATCTTTTTTTTAAACAAAGGTAACATCCACTCTTGCAGAAGTGCAACCCATCTAATCAATTTGGTCAAGCTATTTATATACTATTCTTCTATGATCTTCTATGGCATCTGATTTCACTGAGGTCATGGAGATATTGATGCCTGGTAAATAGCCAGTAATCAAAGGTTGTTAAGTGCTTGTCAGCTTCCTTTCAAACTTAGTCTATCTTTATCATGAGGCAGACTTAGTTCAGCAGCTACAGACCATTTATTCATAAACAGATAAAACCCAAGAATAATGCATTATTATCATGAAAATATCCATACTGTTGCAGAAACATTTGTTCTAAAGCAATCTCATTTTTCTGAAATAAGACTGTGGCCAGTGAAAAGTGATGCCTTATGCCTCCGCAACAAGGCTGCTCTCCCACACATGAAACATTTTGTTTCCCAGCTCCTCCTCTCTCCTTTAAGCCCTGTCCCTCAAGGCCTCTGTTTAGTTTAGATTCTAGAATACATAAAGGGAAATGTGTGATTTTAGAGTTTTAGTTGCACTTGGAGTTCATTCCAGCTTTTCCAGTTGCTCTCTCCTATCATAGTACTTTGCTGCCCACAAAAAAAGGTCAGATAACTTTAACTGGAAAAAATTTAGAGTAGGTGCTGATGAACTCTTACAATACAAAGATCTTCTTTTAAGGCATGTTGATTAAAGCTCTCTCGGCCATAAAATAATAAATTGAAAAAAACTGAAGCAAGTCATTAGTTGGGGAAATCAGTATAACTCCACTGAAATGATAAGCCCACATTAGTTAATGTCTCCTGTGCTCTACACTTAAAATACGTTCAGAACCATCTGGTATTCAAAAAAAAATTTTGGGAAGAAACTTCAGTCTTTTGAAGAAACACATTAGAGTTAAATTCTCCTGCTGAAATACGAGAGGAAGATACATCTGTCCATCCTACCAAGTTGTTCATAAGTTTGTTGGGTGGAAAAGATATGGTTGTAGAAAGAATCAAAGAAATTCAGAATGATAAATTAGTAATGAAATATTCTTACAGTGGAAACCTTTGGAGAACACCCAAGATAGAATTTAATTGAGAGGTAGCGATGATCATTTATTATTAATAAAACTTTTGTTGAAGGAATCCTGTGCAAGGACTATTATCTTTCCCCAGAACATCTGAATATTAGTTATGTTTTCTGACAAGGACTGCTAGAGTTTACAAGCAGTGATCAGCTACAAGTAAGGGGAAGTTTTCCTTTGGCAGTGCAAGGCACTGTGCAATATTACTCAACGAGGGCTGTAAAAGGCACAGAAGTTCTTTGCCCCAACAGCAGCCTAGTTCCCATTAGACATCTCAAAATCAGACCACTGAGATGCAGTCAGACACTGAATGATATAACCCTACCAATCTGTTCTGGTTTAGCAATCCAACCTTTGCCTCTCTATTTTGGGCACACAGTGTTGCTTCCAGGACTTTGACAGTTTGGGGCCAGTTACAATCAGCAGCTTGAGGGCTGCATTTGCATTTGAGGCAGCCATTTTCTTCTTTTTCCCAAACCGTCTTTCCTCATGTTCAAGCTGCAAATATATGCTGCTGTGAGCGCTGCACCTGGAAAGGCTGACAGTTTGCATTGCCAGACTGGTTCTGTGTACTGACGGCTAAACAAATCTGAAGTATCCACACACCACAGCATTACTGCTTCTGTTCCCGAGTGCACCAAATCTTCAAATTAAATTTAAACAATACTTCAACAATCTCACTTATTTTAAAGTCATAAAATGAGAAGTCTATCTCTGTAGATATTTTTCTTTCAAATTATTTGAAAGATTTCTTCACTAACTTGCAGCAATTGCTAAATACATGGATGCATTTCACAGTTTTCCAAGTGCATGCATCTTGAATGCTACAGGATCTCATTTCCCTCCTAAAAATTTCCTATGACCTGCAACTACAAGGTGCTGCCATAAAATAGCACAGTTATTGGTATTAGAACCATCCTCTGGATGCAATCAATGCTCTTGTGCATAAACACAGCTTAAAGAGAAATACAGAAAACAGTCACTCCACTCCCTCAAAACAGTGTATATTGCACATCAGTATTTTGGTTAGTCGGCCACCTCTTCAGCAATCAGAATAAGCAACTTAACTACAAATGTTATATCTGGAACCTGAAAGGAGTTAAAGCACAGAGCATGTGATCTATCTGCATTTCATCTGTGAATTCATCTTTCAAGTAAAAGCAGGCCACATATTTGATATAAATTTATACTCGCTCTTACCTTGAACAATCTCAAAGCTATTAGTCATGTTCCACACATCAGTATTAACTGAGGAGAACCACAGACACCCTCCCAAAGAAGTTTTAGAGGCCTCTCACTCCAGTGGCTTGATGAGTCTGAGAGACACCATAATGATCATCCGGGTGACGGAAGTCTGTGTTACTGTGAATTGTGCCTGTGCCTAAAGTGTCAAAATATTGTAACATTTAACTTGTTTGCACTTCTTGTTTCCTCCCTCATGACATCTACAATACCATTCACTTGCTAACTCTGCAAAGTTCACATGATTTCCATCACAGATTTCAAAAACTCTGAAACCACCCAACTGATTTCATGTCAATTTTTCTCTCCATTCCTAACTGTCAAGAGCACTGTAAGATCTTTCAAGCTGCACTGCAGGGAGTCAACATACTTTTAGGTGATGGCAACATACCAATGTTAATTTGACTAATCTAGTTCAGCATGCAGTATGCAATTATTTCCTACTCTCCTGATTTTTTTTCCAGCCTATTTTCAATTTAATTTATACATTGGTAAGGATTCTACCTTTAGAAAAGATAGCTAGTCCACGAGCCTTCCACTATGCTGCAGCTGCTGCTGTTATATTTGTCACTAAAAAAACCCTCTCACCTTATGTGACAATGGGATTTGAATCACAATGGCTAAATATATCATGTATAGAGATTTGATTGCTTTACTTTTTTTCCTGAAGGGGAAAATATGAGTGCAAAACCTTACAGTTTATTCCATGCTTCACTACAGTGTAATTCTAGACCCTAAAATTTCTACCATTCCTATTTTGGTAATGAATGGAATGTAAAAGGGAGGTATTTAAAATTAATTGCAGCAGTTCTGAGGGTTAAACCTGCTTAACCCAACTTTTTATTAAGAGAATGTCAACAGAGCATATATCTTGTTTAGGGAGTGCTGGGACATCATTATTCTTCTACTAGCATGTTTAGTTCTAAAACCTGGGATTTCTTCAGGTTCCTGTAGCTGTCATGCACACCATATACCCATCCCAAATTATAGTGCCTGTTCTGAGCTCCTCACTACAGCAGGATTTGACCTGAGAAACTAGAGTTTTGTTTTACTTTATTAACTTGGAGTACTTTTAAACAGTTTTTAAACAAAGTTTTTCCCTTGACCAGCAAGGGAATTTTCAGCCTGAAGTTCTCAGCAGCATCCGGTGAGGCTCTTGGCCAAGTTCTCCAGATACTGTACATCCACAAGGACAGCCTGCTGGCTCTTGCTGTGGCATTTTCTTAATCCTCAGAACAGATTTCCTGGATCTAGGAAACTTAATTCCTGACTCCTTTGACCCAGATGCTGGCGAAAACGTAGTCTGTAGTCTGTACGTAAATAGGTGTGTTCATTTTTTCTCCTTTTTTTTTTTTTCTTTCTAGGAACTGGCCTTGCTGTTAAATTTTTCTAAAACAGTCATATTAATATGTTCAAAAATCCACTGTTGAGTTTCAGATAAAGGATCGCATCTGTTCATGAAAATCTTCTTCTCAGCTGGGTTGCAATCTATGCAGCTGCTGCTTACCGGATGGAATAAAGTTTTGTCCTAGAGGAATGAAAAAAACCAGAATTAGGTAGCAAACGCCAAAGCATTGGAAGTATTCTCATTTTACAGAACATGGATTAACACAGCCCTATATGAAATGATTTTGTGGTCTCTGTGCACTAAACCTGTGTAATAACCACAGCTATTATTAGGAAGCTGTAGACAATGGAGGGTTTTCTTCCCTTGGGTTATCATCCTTCATAAAACTGAGGATTCAAGAAAGAAGGAGGAGACATCATCTGGTCTTTTACTAAAAACTGCATAATACAATGAAAAAATAGAATGTCTTTAACAGCTTTGCACATCATGTATTTGCCTGGAACCCATTTAAATATCCAAAGTGTTTTTGGGTGGGTTTTTTTTTAGATTTATTCTTGACAGTTGCATGTTTCTGGGCAGGAGGAGCTGTAACAATCTTCAACTTGGTGAAGACGTTAAAAATGAATTATTAACTGAAGCAGTGGACAGATGGACACAGTTGTTCTCAGTTCTCACCCCATGCAATGCAGACCTGCCACTGAAATACACTCTCTCTCCTAATAAGATGGAAATCGTAATACTGATTTAGCTCCATAGGGAGATTTTGGGGGAGTAAGCATGGATTAAGTTGCTTTAAAAAGCATATTTATGATGATTAGTTTTATTAATTTTACTTATTAAACTAGAGTGAATGTTAAGTAACATGACTGTGAATCTTTGTTAAAGCAGAAACTACTCAGTTGAACAGCTGGTATGTGTGAGTTGGGTAATTTCAACATACTTAGTTCATATAGCAAGTGTTTTGAGAGAGACAGATGTGGGAGTGATTAAATGGTTTGAAAGTTTCCAGGGACTATACTGCATCTGTTGAAATAAATTTCAGATTACTCTTGGTAAACCACATCCAGGCTTTTCCCCTCCGCACCAAACATGCTCTGATTAGTATTTTAATACTAATCCAAGATGTGCCTGCTTGTCTAGTTTGCGAAAGGGAAAAAAAGATCTACTTGTCAAATTGAAATTGATTAAAAACTCACACAACTGCTGTGGTGCCGAGCAACAATCACGGAAACTTCCCTTTAACTACAAATACCCCACATTCCAAAAAAAAAAAAAAAGTATGAAGACAAAAAGAAATAGCAGCTATTTAAAACCAGTTGGAAAAAGAAAGTGGTTTTTTTTTTTTAATTCAGGAAAGATGAAATTGATTGATTTTGGGGGTTATGAAACTCTGGTAAAGTACAATGCCTCTTTTTATAATTAATATATGCAAGAAAGAACAGAGGCAAAAGCATCTTGTTCTCTGGCTGTGGGTGATGGTGTTACATCTGCCTCTCACAAACACCACTTTTTCCTTCCAGCATCTGCCCTTCCCCAAAAAAAGTGGTTGAACACACAGACCCACACCCCCACACCCAACACTGTAATTCAGAGGGATACCATCACATCTGACAGGACTAAATCAAATGAGTAGAGGACTTTCCCTCATATTCTACAAAGCAAGCAGGGAGGATACTTCAGCTTGCAAGAAGGGGGGAACTGTAATGTGTACCAAGGACTATTGTGTCCCTACTAGGAGGTGGGCCTGCAAGAACTCCCAAGCACCCTATGGGGTGGTGCAGGCACCCATCTGCACCTTGCCAGATCCTCCTGTCTTCTAAAAAGAGATTGATGGAGTGGCACTGCCCAAAATCAGGACACAGTGACTGTGCCATGGCCACTCGGCCTGATGTGGGGCCTTGGAGGAAGGGGGCATCTGGTTTTCCTTGCATTATAGCTGGGCATGAAGGTCAGCCAAGCTATTAGGAGGCCAAAGTTAGAATACTAGAAGCTTTAATAAGATAGCTGGTACAAGAAGAAAGGAAACAGCTTCAGCACAAAAAGTTTGCTATGAAAAACACTCCAGCCTTTCCAGAAAGCTGGCAGTTTTTCTTCTCACAGAAATATCCCAGGGATGCAATTTTTGAGTGAAGCATTGTTGGTGCTTTCTTTCAGAGTCTGGTTATTAGGAGAGAAGAGTGTCTTTTAAGAACAGGGACAGAGTTACCACTCTGGAAAAACTTCTGGCTGACTTAGCTATATATAAAGGTCTATTAATTTATATTCTCAAGCTTATGCTGACCTAAGGTCAAAGCCTACTGCTCTTACAGAAACGGGCTCAGGACTTTAAGGAGTCACAGTTGCATGAACCCTAGCAAAGAACTTTACAAGAGAAATACATAAATTCCTCTTTACACCAATACTGAGAAACCACAAACGCTATTTTGGAGACATTGCTGACATCTGAAAACAGCAGAGGGATTTTTTTTTTTCCTTCTGCATGATGGCAAGCCTGAAGATTATTTGCAGAAGGAGGAACTCCTCCATAAGATAATGGGTCTTGACAGTTCAGGGGGTTGGTAATGAGACACAGAGCCTTTCATTTCTTCTAGGTCACTGCTATAACTATAGCCAATCTCAAGAGCAACTGGAAGTCATTATCAGCTGGTGGCTGCAGTAGTTTATCTGAAATTAGTTGGTAGCCCCAGTGCAGTTTCAGCAGGACAGATGCCCATATTATAAAAGGTACTATCACAATGACATGTCTTCAGCTGTCTGAGGAAATAATCTAAACACCTACTGTGTCAAGAGTGAACTTATTCTTACAGTTTGTCCCTGAAGCTGTCAGGAGACTATGAGCAAACCACTGTCTTCTGGGCACAGTTTTTGACATTGTCAGTTTAGCATCTCTCATAAGCACTAGACTCAGGGTAAAATTATGGTGTAATTGATTTTGCACAATTGTTCCTTTTTAAAGACCTACTAAATCAGTACTCTCTTGGATACTCGTGCTCTACAAATAGCACTAGTGGGCCTACGGCACATAAATTGAATCATACTTTATCAGAACCAATGTATTACCTGTCAGCCCAGAATGATGCTACATTGAAGACCAGAGGTGTACTCCTTCATTGTGAGGAACAGAAATTTGTAGGCACTGCTGATCATTGGCTTGGCATGCTTAGGAGTCTCAAACAGATTCAAGAAAATGGCTTTAGGCTTGGGAAGCTAAAGACATTCTCCCAAATCACTAGTAATTACAGGTTATTTACATTTATCTACCTAATTTCTTACATTGCTCCAATATGGTGTCAATATTTTTTTTTCCTGGTATTAAATTCTATTCTTCTACTTACAACCCATAGCAATGTTTGCAGTGGTACTTGGCTTTCTTCTTCTTCTTACAGGCTTTTCTTAAAGGTATATTTGGCTATAGACCAGTATTTTGGATTAGTCCTAAGAAAATTGATTACTTAATATCACAAACTTACTAGACTTTCAAATAGCTACTCAGATGTAGTTCAAACAGTATGGGAATATGAACAGTTTTATGACACATCTTTATTAGTGGTGGTTTTGATTTCATTCATCTGAAAAGAATGAGGTTTGAACACTCTGCGACTGCACTGCAAAGAGAAGCGAAGTGCCTGTAATGGGCCGAAGCTGTAAATTTTTGTCAGAAGACCACTCCTTACCCAAAGTAAAATACTAAGGTATTCTATTTGCCACTAAAATATTCAAGTTGTTTTTATTTGCCAGTATCCAAACCCAGATTGTTAGGGTTTTTATGCTATAAGAATACAGAATCTGAAATCAGTGCCTGGCTTCAAATTACATTTGCAGCACTTTGTAATCACTTCACAGCCCTAACTTCTTCTTACCATTGGCTCAAGGATGCAAAGGATCATGAGAAAAGTCTCATCTTTAAACTAATAAAAACCTCTTATTTTCTAGTTTTATATAAGTACTATGGCAACATGGTAAGAAATACTTCACATTAGGCATGTTATAAGACACTGACAAGCAGGGTCATTTTTCCTAAAGCATGAGAATTACTGGTAGGATGGGTACATTACCATTAGGAAGCTTCAGTGTCTGTAAGTGGTGCAGAGAACAAAAGAGAGCTGCTGACCTTCTCTCTGTTTTTTTAAAAGGACACACTTCTTGCTTAACCAGACTATTATTCTTATTTATTTAGGGTGCAGATTTAGTAGCATACCATCCTCTAGGTAAAGGGCTCTAGTACAGATGTAGTTAAACAATATAATATCCTTTCTTGTACGTTTTTTGTTTGTGGGGAGAACACCCAAAATCCTACTGCCCAGATGCTTTCAAAACTAGGTAAGGATTATATCATTAGGATTTTGGAGGCAAAGACATACTACCAAAAGTCTCTAAAATAAATCTACCCTGTATCTGAGGAAATAGACCATGGGGAACTACTTATGGCGTAGCCAAACTAAAACTAAGCCTAAAGAAAACCATGTATACATATTTCTATTATTCCAATGCAGTTTCCTAACTTGAAGGTTTATGCAAACTGAAGGTTTGTATTACAGTTAAGACTGTGCCAGTACTTCTACCATAACAAAACTTTATGGTGTTTCTTGCTGAGATGGAAATGCCTGTCCTGCATTGAGAATTTTTATATGAGCCCTGTCAACCTTCTATAAATTAGAAAGGAAGCTGTATAAAGAATTTAGTAGAACTCACACTACATATTTTTTTTCAAATGTAATTTTTTTGTAATTATTTGCTGTATTCTGTCCTCATCAAAGGTGATGAGCCTTATAGAGGGCAGCTCCAGACCCACATTTTGTCTTATGGACTGGCTATATTAAGCAACAATGAAGTGTTAAATGTATGAAAGCTTCTTTCTTGTAGCTTCGGTAGGCAAAAAGATAAATCAGAAGGGTTTTGAAGCAAGAAGGTATTATTATGGCATTATAATGTCAGAGAAGCAGCAATACAGCCATCACAGCTTATCTCCTCTAAATATCTGGCACATACATTCTAGTTTTCCTACAGGTAATACTTCAGTTTCAAAGGGATTACATTTCTGGAAAATCTTGTGGTAGACCTCCACTTGCAACCTAAAAAAGGTAAAAAGGCACAGTGTCTGTAATAAGTAGGCACTCAGAAAAAGGGTCAGGGCAAACCTGTTTTCATGGTTCTGAATCAGTTTTCTACTATATACACTTTCAACTAGAAAGCAGTAGTGAGGTTTATCTGGAAAAGACCAATTCCTGGCACTTTGCCCTCAGCTTAAGCAAGGTGGAGGGCAAGGCACAATAGTCAAAGAAAACTGAAGCATGTGTGAGAGGAATCCTCAGTGCTTCAGAGAAATGTATATCCTTATTCTGAATGGAATACAGAGCTTATTAGCAAAATCTTTAATCAAGGCAACTTGCTGATTAACCATTAAAAAAACCTAACAACAACAACAACAACAACAACTCAATAGCATTACCAGGACTTTACCATAAATGAGGCTCTGACAGTTTTTAGCTTGACCTCCTGTTTCCAGTGATTTATAAAAACGGGCTGAAACTCAGCAGATCAAAGTAGTGTCTAAGCTGCTTATCTTTAGTTTATAAACTCCTGCTTTCTTTGGGCTTACAGCTCTGCTTTTAATGTTGGATTGGGGGATTTTTTGTTGGTTTTTTGTTGGTTTTTTTTGAGGGAGATTTTTCTGCCACTTGTAATCTTGAAAATGAAGTAAAATAATAACATTTAACTCATGAGCAGCATTTCTTGCTGCTGTCACATTGGAGGAAAATATTTCCAACAGTGCCTCTGTTAAAATGACACAAGTAACTTGAAGCGCCAGAATGGTAAAACACCTTTCAGGGAACAGATCCAACACAGACACCCTCTGATCTGGATCACATCCATTTTCATTTAAATTTGACCTAAATAGCAGAATGTTTGAAAGGAACATATTCTAGAGAGATTACCTCAAAATTAAATTGGAATAGGATGGGGTGGATTTTAAAAAAAAAATTCTCTGATGGGAAAACACAAGCCTGTGCTAAACTGAATATACGTTCAAGACGGTCTGAGCCTCTGAGATGCCCCACAGTGACTCTGACCTTCCTATAGCTCCAGTGCTGGTTTCCCTTCATCCCATGACAATCATACAGTGTGACAGGGCTACTGTGCGAAATGGCGTCGAAGCAGAACTTCCTGGTGTGAAGTGGCTCCCCAGGGCGGATGTCTTCTCTCCAACCAAAGGTGAAGAGCTAGAAAAACAGACAGGCAATATAATGATATATTAATAGTGAAAAACATTTAAAACAACACAAAAAGCTTGATGCATGATTTCCTTTTCACACACTCTAGGTGCTGGTTAACCAAGATCCTGCCTGTGTACAATTCAGTGATGCCAACTGCCTCAATTATAGTGCATCAGCAGTTATGTGGAATATACCTCAGGAAGGCTCAATCCCTGTATCATAGAAGAAAAAAATCTCTGGTGACACAGTACTGTGGAGAGGAGAGGGGATATGCTGTATTAAAGCCTTTAGTTACCCCGGTTAAACCAGCATTTGTATGCTCTAGGACTTCAGCTGCCTAAGACTCAGAAAGCTTCTGCCAGTGATGTTCCTTTAGCTCTCATTTGGGTCTGAAGAAGGTGCCTAGAGATATCTTCCCATCACAGCATCTTTCCTATGTTCAGTGAACAGTTTCCTTTTGTTTATACAGGACACTGTTACTGTAACCTCTTGACTGTCTTTTTTCCCCCCAAACAACACATGTTAAATGATCTTCATCTTTCCACTGTGAAACCTGTGAGCTACAGGCAGCTTGTCAAAATCCCTTTTCTCGCTGCCTGAGAGGAGTCATGGAGGGTCACAGTTAATAGAGGAATCCTTCTCAATTAGACACCAACTGTCTGAAGTGATGCTGTGACACTGCAGTCTTTCAATCATCAGATGAAGGTGACAGGTCTGACAGCATCAAGTTTAAAGATGTGGAGTGAATTTTCCTTTCCTATGGACCAATTCTTGCAGAAGAGGCTTCAGGTTGTAAATTACTACCTAGAAGCTCTGCCAAGAGCTGTGAGGTTCTTTTCTTTTATTTTCTTTCCTTTTTTTTTCCCCTTTTGTGTGAGTGCTATTCTTTGGCTTTCTACATGACTTCTGATTTTCTGTAGGAAAAAAAAATAAAAATGTAATGCTGAGAAAGTGACACCCTCTTTAAATGAGCAAACTTTGCTAGTAGAAACTCTTTAGCTGAGATGGTTCATGTGGAACTGCATGCAAGCTTTTTGTCCGGAGAAGCAGCTCCCCATACTGAGCTCAGACTGCCTCCAGCACCCCCTCTCAGGGGCCCTTTGGTCCTCATCTAGCATCCTGCTTCCTGCAATGTGTACATTCCCTGATGGAAACAGCTACAAATTGAAGCTTAATATCACATGGGTCTGATCCTGAATAATTCTGTGGTAGTTCCCAGGTTTTAACCCTTTCATTACTATAGTTATCTTCTTTCCATGGTCTTCCTAAAAGATACAACTTTTAAAAATTCTGCACCTTCAATGCTGTACCATCATCCAAATACCACATTTGAGAGGTGTTACTGTCTCTCTTGGCCTGCAGGCCCAAAATACAAGCATATATCTGAATATTTTCCTTTTTTGTTGTGTTTCTTATTGTAAACCCCTGTTCTCTCTGTGAGCTGCTGTTACTCCCTATTTCTTATTATAGGTTTCCTAGAGAGTGTTTTCTTAATCTGCCCCTGTGTCCTGCTTATTTCTTCTTTCTCCCAGAGTGCGTTTTACATTCATCTGCAGTAAAATGCAGTGGACAGCCTTAACTTTATTTTCAAAGCAATTTCTGCTTTTCAAAAGGTTAAATCTATTTCCACTTTTCTTTACATTTCTTTGAGGAAGCATTATGGACCTCCTACAATGATAACTTATCATTTCACAAGCAAAGACAGAAGTTAAGATTTGGCACAGAAAAAAAAACTATGCTGCTGTTTCTTTAGAAAAAGAGATGTCTGAGACAATTTTCCTTTAATTAAAAAACTACAGAAGCCATTTTCTTTATCTTATCCTTTACCTTTTTACAGACATGTAATACACCTACAGCTGAAAGTGATGAATAACAAATACTTTGATGAATGGTATGGAACAGTAGTTCTGCAATATTCTCACTCTCATCACTACAGTTACAGAGAGATCCTATTGCAGGACCATCCTCATCTTTCATAGTGAGTGGCTCTCCAAATTTCTCATTCTGTGCAGGACTGGTGAGCTGAGGGGCCAATTCTTGCTGCTCTCTGGACCTTGGCTTGAGGACTACTACCCACTGAATGCATCAGTACACATGAAAGAGCTCGAGCTAGCCTTTAAATCAGATTATCCTGATCTAGATTATACCTCTGCTCTTTCTGCTCCTGTGTGGTTTCTGAAGGCTACCAGGGCCGTGTCCTGTTTGCAAGTCAAGACATGGTAACACAATGGTGTTTTTTATTCCATTCTACTGAAAACCAGGATCTGTGCAATACTAGATCTCAATATTTAGACTAGGACAGATTCTTTTTCCTTCTTCTTTAGCCTTCTGTTTTTTAAAACAGTTCTATTTTTAAATAAACAAGTATGTCTTCCTCCTAGTGATACTATTATAAAACCAACCTTGTTAGGGACAAGAACTCAGTTTTAGGACTAAGAGAGAGAAGAGAAAAAAATGATCAGAAAAAAAGTTACACTTCTCTATACACCCAATTGATATTAAGACGTTGCAATTACAGACAAAACATGAAGGCCTACAGTCCTTCCAATCTCATAATTCTAAGCTATCCTACTTTAAACAGCAATTTTTCTCTAGTTAACACTGAATCTGGCCAATATAAATATTATCTCTCCACTGCATAATGTGCAACAATGCTACATGTTATTAGCTGGAGCCCTGAGTATATAATGCTCTGCTTTGCCATCACTTGTCACTTTGGATTTTGTTGTTCCTTTGTTAGGAACCTACTGTGTCAGATTTTACAATAAATGGCTGAACCCTTTTGTACTCTTTTTGTACTTCATTCATTTCTGACTGCTTGTTGATTTGAAACAAGGCTGCACCTAATTCCCAGGCACATTATTAACAAACAGCAGGTTGATTCTTCACCTGCAACACACAGGGATGCTGTTAACTGCTCCCTGCTGGACCCAAGAAACCCTGTGTCCTGGGTCAGTGGATGCTCATTTTCCTCCTTTGCCTTCTCTCATATCAGAGTCTGTAAAACACAGCACTATCCTCTGCATTTGCAATCAAGCAACCTTTCAGCCCTTATGCTTTGCCTTTTCATGTAGCCTAGCCCTGTCATGCAGTAACTGGGGAAAATACAGCTTTCCAGCTTCACTTATAATTGGCACAGGGCCTGAAGAACGATTGCCTGATACAGCCACTGGCTTGGGACTGTCTGTAGGACAAAGGCCCTTTTGATACCATTAATACTTTCCAGCCTGACAACACTGCTCAATTACTCGCTGTCTGGCCGGGGTCTGTCAGCTGGCATTGTGCTCTGACTACGGCATTAGACTTGAGAGGACAACATGTACCCTGTGCAAAGATGAAACATCATGTTTCAGACTGGACTCTGACTTGAATTATACCTCCAAGCAGAAAAGAAAGAGCTAGGCAGGCTCCATGGCTACTTCCTGTGCCATGTTAGAGATGGTGCCTGTCCATCTATTCCCTGGCAAGGCTGGGGACTTGATAAGACACAGTGATGCCTGTCATTTTCCTTTGCTATTGGTTATCAGTCCAGCAGAGCCCCAGTTTTCCCTGAAGCCAGAAGTTAGCTCTGGAAAGACAGAGGTGGAAGAACACAGTGCCCTGACATCCTTCTGCCCCTTTTCTTCCCCTCTGGTTCTTAATTTTGGGAAAGCTTCTAGGAACCACAGTGACATTCACCCTCGCTTCCCACCCATCTCATGTTCACCAGAAAGCCTGTAAGAGCCCCACAAACCTTTTGACTGCTGTTTGCCCAGCCTGTTTGTATAGCCCTGGGGTGGAAGGTTGTCTTCCTCTCCTTGGGTCTGCCAAATGGCTGTGCCCCCCAGCACAGCGGCTGAGACTATCAGCTTTTAATTCCTGCCCTGGTAACATGACATGAACCAAGTGGAGTAAAGGATCATCTCTGTGCAGCAGCAGCATTGACGCCTGCTGCACTGGTCACATCAAGCTACTAGAGTTTGCCACTGAATTCCCTGGAAATTTATACCTGAAGTTACAAGTCCAGTTCAGTGTCAATTCATGCTATTTGAAATATGATAAAAAAATACTTGATATTTTCATTAATACTGTTAGTTTCTACACGCATCTGCAGAACTCATGTAGGCAACAAACTCCAGAAGGGTGAAAGAGAAGATCTCTCAGGTTGGTCATGTGTTTGGCAGCTATCCCCACTCTCTAACAAAGATAATCTTCACAGCTTGCTGTGGTGCAAGTGGAAGATCACATTCCTTCTCCTCAGTGGATGTTTCATTAGACCATGGTCTTACATCACTGCTACCAGGATGGGAATTGGGATTGAGTACGGAGAACCGCTCAAGAAACGTCCACCAAAATATACCAATCTAAAACACACTTTTGAGGGAATTTTTTCACTTGTAACAACTGTCACCTGCACAAACACAGATTTTGACACAACACCCTCCCTTCCCAGCAGCAAACGAGAGGAATCAAAAGCGAAAGGATGGCTTTGGGCGTGGGACGCGCACCCTCCGCTGGGTCCGTGAGCGGCCGGGGGGACGCGCCTTGCGCTGGCCAGTGCTGCCCCCTGCCGGCCGCCCGCCGCAGCGCGCCCGCCGCCCCGCCCGCGGCCCGAACCGGCCGGCACGGCTGGCCTGGGAATGGGCACCGAACGGGACGGGATGGCTGGCCCGGGAATGGGCACCGAACGGGACGGGATGGCTGGCCCAGGGCTGGCACACCTCCCCCTGGGACACTGCACCGCCTCATGGGAGCAGCGGTCCCGATCAGTGCTTTCCACACTCTCCGGTAGTGCGAGGGGATGCGCTGACCCCCATCAGCCCGTTAGAAACGAGCTGTGCTGTCCCCGGGGCACAAGTCGAGCACCGAAGGGCTTCAGGCTTCTTGCCTCTGGTTCTGGCATCTGAGGAGCTGGCTGGTTGAATTCCCTTCGTGCTAACTTCGTCTTATTGATTGTGATGAGGTCATTTTTCGTTCTTAATATAGAATGAGACCATATCCAGTCTGATCCCAAACGTCTCAATGCACTGGAGTACGCCATAACACGGATTCCTCCCTAGCATCCTTCTCCGTTTGTGTCCCTTCCCCTTCACCCAAGCTCTTACTCTTTCAAAGGATATTTCAAGTCTCCCTTTTCTCTGCTAACTTTTTTCCTTGTCTCACCCTTTCATCCAATTTTCTTCCCTCCTTTCTCATCTCTGGCAGCCTCAGGACTCCCTCCCTCCCTTCCTGAGGAGGGTTTGGAGCTTCTAATGTTCGCAGATTTTAAAGCCAGAGAACACTGCGATGGTCTAGTCTGGACCATACAACTTCCTTCAATTAACTGCTTGAATTACTGGATGTCTTTCATAAAAAAAACAGGATTATATTTATCTAGCCTTAGCATTCTATCCCTGTGTAATATCTTTGGTAGCTATCTGAAGAAGTCTTCTTTCAGCAACTTCCTTTTTTGCCATGTTGGCACTTACCTAAATTGCGATAATCCTTCAGGTTCTCAGTTTCATGCACCTCTCCCCCTGCATTTCTCAGTACCCTCAGAGAATGGTTTCTTGACCTCAGCACTTCAAATACCCCTCAGAACTCCTCTCTCCTGAGCTTTTAAGTTTTTACAAAGTGCCGTGTATAACTGCCAGGTCAATTTTTCTCTTCAGCATTGGAAATTTTTTTGTAATATGGGACCTTTTGCTGTGAAAGGCACACTCACTAAAATCGCTAATAAACGGTTAGGTTGTACTTTCCATCTAGATTGTCTTTGCTCACATTGGCCAGACCCATGGCCTGTGGGTCATTTCCTATGGCACTCACAGTGAGTACAAATCAGAGCTCTTTTCCTCCGTATTTGTGAGAGCTAATATTTTTCTACCTAACCAACCTAGATAAAAGCTTTTTTGAGTCTTTATAATTCCTTGTCTTTCTGAAATGCTTTTCCCCTTGCTTTTCCCCATTTACCTTGCTTATACCTCATATTTATTTAAAATAGAACCACTTATTGAGTTTATTGAGATGAAAGCATAAAAGCAGAGAAAAACTAGAGCTTTACAAGCCCAGATACTGTATTTAAAATATTTTCAGGTAACTGAACCAAAATCTACATGTTTTCATGACACAGTGAGGGAGAATGGGGCATCAAAAATTGTAATTCCTTTTGGAAATGAAGACTAATATACAGCTCAGGTGGCAGCTGGAATTTCTGAGGTTATGTTAAGGAGTACTTTGTAAAAGCCATTAAAGCCATTAAGGTCAGTAACAATGCACAAATTATTTCTACACTCTGTTTTGCCTTAGGAAAGGGAGAAGCCTCCAGAGAAATGCTTAAAAACTGGAAAAAGGAAGCAACAATTTTACCCTGATTTTCTGCTGTTAAAATACCTGTTCATGTGACCACGTTCGTTCTGAGCCATCCTTCACACAGATGTCTAGCCTCAGCTCAGTCCCTGTGGCTCCGTGTTTACTGTCCACACAGAGGTTGGCTGCCACGTTTCGAATCTGCAAAACCAAGCAGCAACATTTCACATCATATCGGGCTGCAGAATAGAGCTTCCAACATTAGGGGGTTAGGAGTTTAACTCTGAAGGGCTTGAGACTCAGTTATGTAAAACTGGTAGGAGTTATTTTTACAGGATAGAAAGCCATGTTCTGGAATGAACTACTCTTTTTAGGAGCAGCTTCAGAAGCAGCCAAGTTTGAAATATGCTGCTTAACAAATGAAAGGTAGGTCTTAAGAAATGTGTTCATGCAAAGAAACTAAGAGAAAAAAAGTCTGAGTAGTTCAAAGCTTGGTCTGACTGCTTCTTCCATCCTACAAGAGCAAGAGAGATCAACTGCAGAACAAACTGATTTCTGTATGAGTTTCTCCCAGCCTTTGGAGCAGTACGCATTAAAAACTCAGGCACACCCTGTTCCAATCCTTGCTCTTACTTTGACACAATAACACCATTGCAGATAAGGTCACACATTAGTGCCTGAAGTGCATAAAATTAAACAGTACTTAACAAATCTGTACTGGAACTTATGCTTACCACCCATGGAGGTTCCTTCTGCATGCCTGCTGCAAACACTGCAGTGTAACTTACTCTTAAAAGGAAAATCTCACTCTTGAGACTGAAGTAACTGAGTAACAATTAATCTGTGACTATCAATCATACCAGTTATGTACCACTGCTGCCATGTATATTTTCTTTGAAACACTGGTTTGAAAAGGAGGAGGTAGCCTGCTGCCACCAAAAAGAGGCAGAATCCTTGATTTATTTTGCAAATACATGGACACTTCTCCCTGAGTACCTTAATCGATCTAGTTCAAAATTCTTTTACACACCTCCACAATGAAAAGGAGTTCTTAAAAAAACTTACCCTGTCAATGAGATAAACAGAAATTGAGTAATCAAAGTGCACGTACAAGCATGGACACATGCACAAATTCCATAAATATAATATATAGAAAGCAGGTGCATATTTTGACATTCTGGACGCTACTTTGATTCTTATTTTAAAAAAAGCTAGATGCTGAATGGAGATACAGTTGAGTTGGCATTTGTGGTTTTTTCATGAAAAATACTTTAAAGTCACTATTGTTGCCATAATATGCTAGACAAATGTAAATATTGTCACTGCATACCTCATTCACATCCAAAGGACAGAAAACTTGTCAGCATAGCACAAAACATTGCAAGGAGGAGAAGTCCTCATGCATACAAGACACAGGCCAGAGCTACTCTGCTCTTTTTCTGACTCTGGAGGAGTGGGATAGAGTCTGTTCACCATGATCAAGAAAGATTTAAACAGATGGGAAATCAACAAGTAGTGGAAAAAATGTAAAAACCTTCACCTTCAGGAAAGGTTTTAAAAGCTGCATTTGTTTAGCCTAGAAAAGAGCAGATCGGGGAAAGATGGAGGAGCATCAGTTTGAGCAACTGACTACAAGGACCTTTGATCCTTCACCAGAGCTCAGAGAAGCATTCTTCTAAAACTTGGACAAACCCAGTTCTAGGATATTTTTTCTTTTTTCAATACAATAAAAATTGCTAAAGGTGAGTTAAAACACTAGCAGTTCATACACACAACCAGATCCAGAAACCTGGCACTGAGAAGCCCCACGGTAAAAAAGATGAAAGGTAATTAGTTTTCAACAACCCTGCCTTCTTTTTCATATCACCCAGAAAAAGAGGCAGGAAAGAGTAATGAGTGGCACAGATTTTAATATAATATTTTTAAAGTTTCATGTGAAATACCTACTCCAAGTAAAATTTTTTTTTTGAGAATGTTCAATCATTTCTGAATGCACTTAAATTTCCATTGTAAAGATCTCTGGTCTAATAGAAAATAAAATGATACATCGGGTCTATTCTTAGAGCAAGCAAGTTAATTAAAATGGAGCTGCTAACAATTGCCATTAGTAATTGGGGTATATTTATGTGATTCAGAATTTAAAATGATGGTGAATACACTCCATGTCCAATGAATACTTATTGGATTAAAGGGCTTTCATAATTTTGTCTTGATGGCATCACTCCATCCCATTCTCAGTCATTTGGACCATGCAGGAAATGTGTTCAGTCTATTTCTGGAAAAGGCTTGAGCTGAAGCTACATTTAGTTCCTTCACTGCTGGAATCCATCTCACGTTCTTTATTTCCTCTCCTCTTCCCTCTGCTCCTGAAAGGTTTGCTTGAGTTAGTTTTTCCTCTGGTTTGTTGCAGCTTATGTGTTAGCTCATCCCTTTTATGTTTCATCCTTTCAGCTGCAGAGGGGTCGCTGTTTGTTTTTTGTTTTCTTTTTGTAACACAGGCATTTCAGTCAAGTCTGTGCTTTTGTTCTCTGGTGCTTCTGTGTGGCCTTGGCAGTTGCTAGAAACTGAACGGAGCGATCAAGTCAGAGCCAGAGCCACAGGGAACATTCTGCCAAGCATCAGCACCACACAGCCTGCAAATCCCCTGAGATGTTTCCATGAACAAAGGAAGGAAAGCAGAAGCTCAGATGCTTTTTTCTTATGTATACACCAATATGCATTGAAAGTGCCTTGTTTCCAATCACACAGCACAATGGATTAAGGGGTTTTGAGGTTATGAGTTACAACTAGCAAACAAATAGCTAGTGATCCTAATACTTACATTTCCAACATTCATATTTGTGCAATTGTAGAGGCTGGGGATGAACAGGAGACAGATTTTATCAGCCATGCAGGTAGGGCATTGAGTTGCTACATACAAAGCTTATTTGCTCAACCTTAAATGCCATCATTTGTACACACAGATAAATGTACAAAAAAAGCATGCTTTTGAGGACCCTGTATGGACTAACAGGGACAGATAGTGGAGATATTAAAGGCTGTTTCCTAATTAAACACATTCTGAAAAAAGCACAGGACACTATCTGTAGGTTGTTATACATATTTTGTTCTTGAAATGGCATCCTAACTCACTTTGGGACATAGATATTAAGACCATGGGCACTGTAGTCTTTACAGAGAACAGATGAGGGGTAGAAGCAGAGAGAACACAGCTTCCCAGGACCCAGCAGTTATACTGACCAATATTCTTTGATAAATCTAAAACTCTACAACTTTGTTCACAGGCAAATGAGCTCCTTCAAGACTTGCTGTTGAGGTAATAGGTGATGTCCTGGCTCTGCCTGCATCAGAGACAGGCTATCACCCAGATACACTTCAGCCTTCCTGGGGAAAAGGAGGGGTGAGCTGGACAGGGAGAGGCAATCCCAGGGGTTCTGGAAGCTACCCTGCATGCTCATCATAACATGAAACTGTCTGTGCCAAAAGCAAAAAGTGGGAAAGTGTAGCAACCTAAAGAGAACTCTATGTTCAATATGGTAATCTGTGAATGATGAGTATGGAGGTGGGGTTGGGACAATCCCTAGGGTGCTCTGATACACCAACAAGAGAGGCACCTTGATGGTATCAGTTTATATAATACTTTCCATTATTTAAGGGATTTATTTAAGGGATTAATCCTTGAATTTATTTAAGGGATTTAATCCCTTAAATAAGAAAGTGCCTGTGGTTCTTAGAAGATATTATCAATGTTCATTTATGTTGCTTTTTTTTGTCTGAGCAGCTCTTGGAGCCAGTTTTAATGCACTGCTTACATTCTCAGACAACCCTAGGGCCATCAACATCAATGGATCAACCATGGAAGAATGAGCCATCTCTCCTGTCAACTGATACACAATAATTTTAGAGTATTTATCCTTTGTGTTAGCCATAAAAAAGGAAAAGTCAAAGGTAAAGGAAGTCAAGCACTGCCAAAGACCTCACTGAAGAAACAGTGGACTCTTATTCAGTGCGACACTGATCCTGATGAAAGAATTTGAACAGTCCAGCTGTGCAGCACCTGATCTGTGCAGGGTAGGGTTATATCGCTTTTGTACAACAGATGTGTGACACTCGGTGGGCTGAGACTGACTCATTAAGGGTATGAGGATGACATACTTTTAAAAAAAGAAAGTAACAGAAAGAGAAGTTAGTGAGTTCTTAGGCTTTCATCTTTTTTCAAATGTGCTACTTGACTTAATTTCATAGGGGACATTTTCATGTCAGTGCTGTAAAATTGTTCTGTAAAATCCATGAGCTTCGGACCGAGAAAGGAGTACCTTCAGGTCCTATAGCTTAGCACTGCTGCAGTGACTGAGACACTTCCTCATTAAATCACTGAATAATAAGTTTATGTAACAGCAAATGAAACCAAGTTTAAATATCTCCCTTTTGACTGAGTAAAACAAAAAAAAAATATTTCATATCACTTTGATTATAGGACTCATGAAATCTAAAATAAATGACAATGTCTGAGATTGATTTACTGTAAAATGTGTTTTTAAAGACATTGAAAGCTGTGATATCTGCACAATATATTCATGCTGGATCTCAGGTTGTACATCTATTAGTACTTCCTAAGAAAACAGTTGGTGTTTAATTCTCACCTATTGTTTCAACTTCATTAGGATTTCAAATACACAGTACAAATAAATTATTCTGTCTTAGAAAGAGAATGGGATGGGTATTATTGTTTTTCAATTGGTAGCACACTTCCCAATATATTCAAAAGGATAAGAACAAAACGTAATTGAAAACTTTCCTTTTTTCCACTGTGGAAGAGTACAATTACCTCACTCAAACATAGAACTGACAGTCTCACTAACCTTAATCTGTCTGGATTCACTGTTACATTGCTTTACTGCACACATCTCAGATGTTACAAGGCAGAGCAGAGTATCAAGGGAACCTATACCCTGCCAGCTGCAAAGGACAAAAGGCACAAACACACAGAAGAGATAAGGCCATGACAAGAGTAGCAAGAAAGATTGCTTTTTGTTTTCCAAATGTCCTTCTTTTCCATCATAAACAGATTTTGTCAAGAAATGTATGAGTCAGATTTTAAACAAATGCGTTTGAAAAAAAGGAGGAGTGGAGCAGAGGCTGTCTATGAGACTGCTTTCACACCACATGCTTTTACTAGCTAAATATCAAAATACTGGAGCCAAAATTGTCTGAGTACCTCATTGTTTACCCTTTCTCAGACTGGCAGATATAACATGTTTCCAAATGGAAGCAGAGAGGGTACTAAACGACAGTCAGTCTTGGCACAGACTTTTGGTGTTTATAATCAGCAAGTTTTCTGGAGCTGCTTGACTCTTACAAAGCAGTAACATTACAGTCTGTTTCCCTCTTTCAGCTTCTGACAGCCATTAACCTTCAAGTTTTTTCAAGTTCCTTGCAAGTGCCAACAAATTAATTAAAACTGCACAGGAAAGTGACAGTCTCAGGAGAAAATAGAGCAGTAGGGCTGAAACTTGTCTTATTGTTGTTTTAGAGAAAGCACCTTTTAGAGGAAAAAGAGTCTTTGGTCTTCACATGCTTCCTAAGAACTTAATAAGTGCTTTTAAAGTACAGATTTGATATCACTGCTACGAACTTTGATTTACTTTTAAAAATACTTGTTTTTATGCAAAGATTGTATTAATATTGCTGTGAAAAGAATGAATATCTGAATCACAATTTCCTCCTCTTAGACTCTCTTGACTGAGTTAAGGATTGTCACATTTCATGATGATGGTCCTCCAAGGACACATGTGGAAGATGGTAAAGGAAGATCACGGTAGCTGTCACAGCAACCTGATCCAGCCTGACTTCTACTGATAAACTCCTTACTTCCTAGTACATATTAAACTCACAAAGTGTGGACAGCAGCATCAAAGATAGAAGAAACTTTAACAACAAAGGAATTCATTACTGCCAAGAAGTAGCAAACAGTTAGACACATATAAATTGAAGTTCTTTTGAACATCTGTAACTGATAGCTTATAAAGAAAAATTAAGGACTGCTACTACGACAGAAAGTTATTTTAAAAATCTCACTATGAGGTAATTTGCTTTTTTAAAAGGAAGTTATGGAGAACAGTAGAGGCATTTAGGAGTCTATGGTCCAGTCTTAACCACTGGGAATATGGAGGAGTGTGTCTGGTCTTACCAAATGTTTTAGTCAAAACTTCAACTTCATCCTTTGGTTTACAATATGAAAGATAATTGTCTGAGAGCCCTAAGAACATCTCCAGCAAAATCAGAGAAGGCTAGAACTTGCAGTACAGGTATTACTATGGTTTTTAAAATGGTAGCACAATACACTGAAAGAGCAAAGCCTTCTTTACAGATCTTAATGATTTGAGAGGAAAGAGCCCTCTGCATGCCACCTTCCCATGGCATGAAGCCACTGTAGTTCTTGAGGGTAAAGGCCACAGCAATTTTTCAGTGAAGATAAGGAAGTAATTTCCCGTCCCTGCTTCTTTGTGTTCTTATTTCTTCTGCACAAAACAAACTGCCAAAGCAAGGTGTGCTACAGTTCTGCTTTTCAGAGAGGTCTGAATGCAGAATATCTTTGATCACAGGTGGAGAGTTCCGGCCAGCTGTTTGCTCACCCCCTGCTCTGGAATGATGCTCAAATATTGGTCTCTCTTTAGTGGTCTCTCCCTCCCCTCATCCATCAAAGGAGAAACTGCATTTGTCTGCTACTGGTACTCAGTCATGACAGCACCTACAGAATGCAGACAACAGCTAAGCAAAATCAGTCTTTTTAAAAGGAAAGTATCCAGGCCTCACTTGTCACACTTGCACATGTGAGCAAAACAGAGTAAACCTAACTCCACCAGCATATAATTGTACTTGTAAGGACAGGACGAGGTATATAGATAGATATGCAAAAAACCACAAGTATTGACTTCAGATCTGCTTTCTACTAAGGTGATTCTCTGAACCTAAAATCTTCCTCTGACGTGCAATAATGAGTGCTACATACTCTTTTCCTCATTCTTGTCCTCATTGTGCATACATCTTATGCTCTGTAGACATAAAATTGTAATGAATTATAAAGGGGGACAGTGATAGTTCTAAGACATGAGAGTTTTTCATTTTAATGGATAGCTCAGGGATTGTTCCAACCACTGTGAACTCCTATAATAACACTACTGATCACTGGCTTAAGTCTGAAGTAATAATCTTCATTTTCCACAATCTAAAATATTAGACTCATTTAAATTTGATCTAATTTGTGTATTCCTCACCTCGCCCCAGGCAGCAGGTGGAGGTTCCACAGGCGGGTAATATTTTGGGACATCCCAAGCCACTGCAGCCATGAACCACTTGAAATCTTTACACTTGAGGTGCTTGCGCAGCTCCTTCTGGGCAGAGATATCACCAGTTGAGAGATGTCTATACTCAGGCCGTCGCTGGTAAATGTACTCTGCAAACTCATCCATCCATGTCTCTGCCACACGCTTCAGGTTCTGTGCAGCAGAAAAAACCCAAACATTAATTTCTTCATGCTTTGAGTGAATGATATTCCTAACACGGAGAACTAAACAAAGCAAAACAAAAAATCAGTATTCCACACAACTTTTAAGCTTAGCCAGTCTAATTTCTCAGTCTTAAAACATGGAAAAGTACTAGTAAACATATGCTATCTTTATTACATTATTGAGCAAACACTATAGAGTAGTAGCACAAAGTACTCTGCTTTTCTGCTGACACTGTATGATACAGGCTTATATCTGTTGAACATCATATTTTCCTTCATATTCTTTATGCATATTCTTCACATTGGTTTTTGACTAATGATGAATGTTGAACAGAAATTTTCTTTCAGTTGCTCACATTGGTACCTGTTTTTTTTCCCTGTTAGTTCATGACCTAAGCATGCAAGAATGGTTCAAATTATTCCTTCTGAAGTATTTCACTTTGCATTTGAAAGGCATCTGAATTTTAATCTGTCATCATACTTCTCAAGCACCTAGCAATTCCTACCTAAATTTTAGGGTCAGGTCTTACATGTGCATGTTGGGGGACCTGCCCCATCTCACAGCTGTTTTTGCACAACTCCTGGACTGGAAGCTTTGCTGTGTCACCGTGCTAGTAAGTCTGTGCAAAGGCATAGCACATAACCCTGAAGGGGAGCTGACCTGACGCAAAACACCTTGTGGGGTAGATATGACAACTTTTGGCTTTCTGTGCTCATTCTATGAACATATCTAAGGCTATTCAGGTTCCATGAAACCCAGCTCTGGCCTGTTTTCCATGAAGTTTATTTTTGTTGGCATTTCATAGGAAACAGAATTACTTATTTTGTTGCATAAGAATTTATTCAAATTATAACTAATTAAATTACCTGACTCAAATTATAAAATAAAACAAATATAATTGTAAGGAAAAATTATGGATAGCTTGAAGAGATATATTTTATTGTTATTTACCATCAAGGAGTCTAAATAGGCTGAGGGCACATTTTTCTGTATTTTTGTTTGTTTTTAAAATTCCTCCTGCAACCCAATCCACACAAATTTATATGCAGACGTTGTAGTGGAACATAGGCTTAGTCTATTTTGTATTGCCACAGCTGCCCAATAACCTTTTATCCCACCAAAAAGCAAAATCTCACTGGAAAACATCAAGACACTAGGGTGTTCTTATTGCTTTGTTTGTAAAAACAAGATAATCAAGTTTTATAATATTCTTTTTATAGAACACTAACTGCAAAATGCTGAGATTCACTCTGTAATAAGCTGGAGGACAACATACATCTGATTATTATCAACATAAGGTAATGTTTCTTTTCAGAACATTCTCTGCATCTAAGTAAGTCTGATTCATACTCTGACTTGCTTTCAAGATTCATTTGAAAGTTCCTTTCCTGAATTTTATTAATCCACATAAACTAAATGCCTCTGAACTAATAATGCTTATCTGAATACAAAGACAGCAAGATATAGAACAAAAGAAGTACTTTTAGCTGACACTGCAATATAAGTTTCTATGTGCTTTCTCTCCATGAAGCAAATATGTTAAAACCTGCAGGGACAAAGCAAGTAACATTAAAGCAGTATGAGAATTCACAACACTCATATTCCTATTAAAAAATGGCTTGTGTCCCACATAAGGTTGACTTTTATTGAGATTTCATGAAAACCTAAATAACTTTACAAGAAACTAGAATTCAAGAACACAGGAACTGGGTACAACAAAGAAAACCAGAACAAATTCAAGAACAACATCTAAATGACAATCTCACCTTTCTGGAAGAAAACACAGAAATCTCCTGACAAGTAAAAATACTATGTGATGAGACTTTGTAGATGAGGCAAAAATATGATTAAGAATATTAAACAAGAAGCCAAAATAATGCAAATATGTGTATTTTCTAGCATATCTTTCACTGTAATGCTGTACACCTCTTTTGCTACTATGCAAATGCAGTTTAAAACTGTTCTAGAAAATACTTTTTGCAAACACTTTATCTGATAGGCTATTTTCATATTTAAAAAACATACTGTAAAAAGAGCCATACAGTAAAAGTACAGTAAAAAACCCCTTCTCTTAGGAAAGAAAAATTCAAGATAACTCTTGCAGCAAATTGCCTCACCAATATTAAGAATAGTCTCTGATAGTGTTTCTTCTTTAGTTATTTGGCTGCAGTGAAAGAATTGCATTTTGTTTTAGATGATTGCAACTGATAAAACAAAAATCTTGATATTATAGCTGGTCACTAAATGAAAATTCTCATTCACCAGTCAAAAACTCTTTGTTTTCCAATAAGACCTTTGCCACTGCTTTGGGACCCACCAAAACACAATTCCCCAAGTATTAGGTAGGACACTTTACACAAATCTATTTAAAACTTTGTTTCTCAGTTCTTCCAAGGCCATTCCATTGTATGCTAAAAATCGCCTGTAATGAACTTGTATATTATTCTTAGTACATTTATATATTGCTGTCATAAGTCAAGCTCTTATGAGGCAGCCCTTTGAATTTCAGTAGGTTCCTTTTTAAAAATACAAGCCCTTGATTTGCTAGGTCTAAATCTCCAGACTGTTTATGACTATGACTGCAAGGAACTCTGTTCCAGAATAGTGGGAAGCTCTTTCTAAAGATGCCAGTTACTAGGAAGCAAGCACTCAGCATCCAAACAATTTAAAGACGTTTGTTGACCTCAGTGTGAGGAACTGGACTCTTTTAATTGCCTTAAAACATCGCTACTGGAGTGAGCTGTGCAAGTCACCTGCAAGGGGATTGAAGATACTGCTGAAGGGAGGAGGCCATAGCCCACAAGCTGTTACATTTGTGAGGCCCTAGGGGCAAAGTCTTGGGTGTGTGATGCTTTTTAGGCGTGTGCAATGTTTATCGAAAGAAGATCAGTGGCACACTCTGGGTGTGTGATGTTTATCTCCTGTGGGCCAGGCCAGGAGGCCCCTGTGTGCACACTCACAACTACCCCGGAGAAGACCTCTTAGCACCCCCTCCCCAAACCTAAATGACTACAGAAACCAGAGCTTCCAGACTCTGCAAAAGTGGTTTCCCCCCCTCCCTCCATAGGATGGTACCAGGAGGCTTTCTGAAGGTATATAAACCCATGGAATGTTTCATGGGCTTCTCTCCCCCACCACTCCCCAAGGGACAAACAACCACCAAGTTCATTGAAGACTTCTACCTGGTGACTATGAATCTTTATCCTTTTCTCTCTCTCTTTTTCTCTCTTTTTCCTTACACATTTTTCTTGGGTGGCTATATTACAACCAAAATAGTTAAATATCTGTTTTACTCTGCAATACCCTTATTCTTTATATTGCCATGTTACTATAGATAATAACAATCAAAACAGCTACATACCTGTCTTCCTTTGCAACCAAATTGTTCTAAAACAAATCATATATATATATATATATATATATATATGCAAACACTGATCATCTAGTATTGTTTTACTTTCAATCACTCCAAGGGATCTAATAATAAAACAAAAGTTACTCCTGCCTGGTAGGGTGGGTCATAACACAGTTAGCATGGGTTTCCTATCCTTATTACCACTATGCAAACTCAGTAACCATCACACTTCCTTCTAAACATGTCCAGACTAGCAGCAAAACTTCAAATTGCAGTTACTCCCCATGAATTGAATAAAGTCAGGAAGACTTGCTGTTCTGAAAGCTGGTCTGGTGCAACCTTGCACAAAAAAGGTAAACATAATTTACATTCCTATTTGGAATGCGCTAACCCTGCATGTCCCTGGAGCAAAATCGCAGGCTGTGCAAGACGAGATGGGTGAACTCATGTAAGCTGAAAATGCCCATTCTGTGGCTGTTTAGAAGCATGATAAATTGCCCTATGTGAAGAACCTCTTAGGATCATAACTTTTCTCTGCAAATTATGGCAGTGAGTTGCTGGGCTTTTACTCACCTTATCATAACAGAAAGGAGCACAAGGTTGAGGAGCACAACCAAAATGAGAGCCCCCATGTCTGAACAGTTTAAGACCCACCAATCAAGTGACTTACTGTAAGGCAAGGATGTGATATCAAGTCCTTTACAAGTCTTCCGGAGCTGCCCTTCCCATAATCTGGGTGAATGTCTGATATAGTGGATGAAGAAAGGAGGATGGTCGCTTCCTTCTTGCCTGAGCCCTAGGTGATGGATGTCAACATATTAAGCCCTACAAGTGGAAATGGTTTTGAATAGATACCCAGTTTTGACAGACTCTACTCGTAAAACAGGTGGTAAGGAGTTTGATAGGATTTTACTCTGTGTGTGTGTGTATACTGCTGCAGAACTTACAAAGGAGTTTAAGAGTCTACCAGACAAAGCAGCATTTTGTGAACGTCTTATAGCATCATTTAAGCACTCATCTCTTTTTCATCATCATTAGATAGTTAAGTCTCACAGTGAAACTAATCTACAAAGAATTTAGAACAAACAAATTAAGAGTTGTATTTGAATCTTTTTGATTTCTGTCTCCTGTTACTCTTCATGCAGTCTTCTAAAGAAAACTACTTTAAATGCTAGTTTTGCAAATGGCACTAAATATCTTTATCAAAATAAGACGAATCAGCTGTGGCATATCTTTTTGCTACATCACTGTTGTTTGAATTAAGTCCGAACACCTCATGTAAATGCATGTAGAAAGGAAAAATGAAACATAGAATCATAGAATCATTATATTGGAAATGACCTCAAAGAGCACCTCAAAGAGCAATCCAGCACTACCAAATCCACTACTAAACCATGTCCCTAAGTGCATCATCTATATGTCTTTTAAATACCTACAGGGATGGTGACTCAACCAGTTCCCTGGGCAGCCTGTTCCAACGCTTGACAACATGTTTCTACAGCAGAAAATGATGTAGCTTAGCTTAGTTGACAAATTCATTGCAAGGCTACAGATGTCCAGACTGGTTACTCTTAATAGGAAAAAAAAGGGGAAAAAAAAGGCAATTAAATGAAGATCAATTAAATATTAATTA